GAAAGATTTTTTTCATTTCCAATTTTTTTGGATGGCTTTATTATCATTAGATGAACAATGTTAAAAAAGAAAAAAATGATTTTGAGTTTATAAAGGCTGCGATCTTGAAATTCACAAAATGAATGGTTTAGATTCGTTTTTGGAGAAGACTCATTTTGACCATATTTGGGTTCAAATTGAACTTTTTTTTGTTTGAGGATTGATTGTTGAGATGAAGAGATTGAAAAATTTGGAGTCATACAAATACCACAAACATGGTTTTCTAGAAGTGTCGTTGCATTATACTATGATACAACCGTTGCATTTGGATCATTGCTCTACTTTTTTACTGAAATCTATTTATATAATGAGTTGAGTTTTCACCATTATTTAGTGCATGTAGGTTTCAATTTAAATGTTTCATAAAACTTCGCTTATCGCAACAACTTGTGATAAAAAGAACATGCAGACTTAAAATGTGATCAGAATCATCTCGACTTTCTAGGTTATCAGAGTTGAACTTCTCACCATGAACTCTGTTATTTTGGTTGACATTGTGAAGCAAATAATTGTAATAAAAGAAAGGAACCTTAAATGGATAAGTCTGAATCGATTTTATGGCTATGTGATTTGATCCAGACCATTCATTTGTACCCACAGTATAATGGCAAATATATATATTTTGTTTTGAGAACGTTGACATTGTATTACTACAAATTGTTATTACAAACTGTGGCTCCTGAGAATATATTTTATAATAGCAAATATACTTTGCATTAATTCTAATGGACGATTCAGATTTCCAGAATTAAGCATATATCTCTCAATCTGTTATGGTTTACAGATGATAGTGAATAAGAACCGTCAGTTTAAAAAATAGATCCATTTACATGAGCTGGGGTCTGGACCCTGCATTTGACATCTTCCTTTAACACTATGCCCTTTCAAAACTTCATTTAAGTTAAGCCCTTGCATTCTGCAAGCCCATATATCCCCAACCAAAAAGACACGAGTACTTCATGTTCATTGTTCTTTCAACTTTAATTTCATAATGATTTGGGCAAATTCCAATCTCTTTGGTTAATTTTTGTTTGGCAAATTCCGATCTCCTCAATGTGCGTTTCTTTCAAGACATTATCTTTTTTTTATTTTGTGGTTTCGTACATTTTTTATACATATTAAGCCTTTTCTTTTCCTTTCTTGGCAGGATATTCAGTATGTTACGGAGGCGGTGATTATTTTCGAGTCACTCTCCCTGTAGCCCGCCGCATAGATTTTGTTGGGATCTTAATCTTCATTTTCTGCTATTTTTTGACATGGAATTATTAGATGTTCTACTCGTGTGATCTGTAGGCACTTAGAGATGACCGGCTCGGCCGGAGGTAAATTGGTGCTCGTTGAAGGAAAAAGGAAATTGTTTGGCTGTTTTCAGTTACTATTTGTATTTTTGTTAAATTCAGAAAATGTGGAAAAAAGGGACCCATCCGCATGTTGTACGAAGAGGAGCTTGGAGGGCATTTGGGGAAATTAGTTGGGGCCTCAGAGGTAATACCCATGCCCTTGTTAACACAAATCATTTTTACATAGACGGGTTTTTTGTGCTTTGGAGGATGGGACTTTCTGAAGGGCAATTATGTCATGAAAGTTAATCATAGAACCTCTCGAGGAATAATCACAAGGGTCATTTCGTTGACTAATTTTTCATTCTTCAAACAAGTGTGCATTTTGTAGCGTTTTGGTGTTCACAACAAAAAACGAAAGCTGAAAAGCGAAAGAGGCCAAACATCAAGGGCCTTCCCGCTATTTGCTGGCTTGATTTTGGTTTTTCCACCTTTCGTTTGAGAAAGTGAAGCCAAAAATGCAATTGAATTGAAATTAGGGCAGGCAAAAACAAATTGGCTTGTGTTTTTTAATGTATATCATGCCTTTGTTTACATATCTTTGGTGAGAAATAAAGTGAGTAGGTCGGAGGGAGATGGTTGTAGTAATGATAGGGTGGTGTACAACTGGCTTATTTGGCGTGTCGGCAAGCGTTTCCATTTCGTGCTTACATCATGTATCAGATTCCATGAGCGTGGGTCCAAGTCCAACACCCCCCCCCCCCCAATTAAAAGTAATAAACTAGCATAAATTAAAGTACGAAACTTTTTTTAAGGAAAAGAGGTTTGTATACAAAGGCGCATCCTGAATTGATGTTAAAAGATGTGTGGGAAATTGCTATCGTGCTCTTCAAACTTGTTTCCATATCCAATTATGTAATTTAAAGTTTTAAAAATAGTCTTAAAAATTGATGGTCCAAATAGTACATCTGAAGATGCAGTTTTTTAGGACTTAAAATTGATGGTCCAAATAGTACACCTGAAGATGCAGTTTTTAGGACTTAAAATTGATGGTCCAAATAGTACATGTGCGCACCTTTGTAGTATGACGATGACATGTTATAAAAACTTTATATATATATATATAATGAGGCCCTTTACTCTTGATAGAAGATTCGAAACATTATTGACCTATTAGATGTGAATACAAAATAATTTTTTTGAATATTTTGACACTTCAATCTATTGGGTTTCCCTAAAAATGAGTGAGTGTGATCTCCTTGTATTAAAAACAAATGGTTTCATAGTATTCAATCTCTATATATAAAATTGAAAGCAATGTAAATAGGCATTGTGCTTTATGCTTAGCGAGAGTGGAATGCTAGAGAGAGGAAAACCTTGGTATGTAACATGGAATATTAGTTTTGGATGATTGACGGCCAAAGTTCATGTAAAGTAAAATGCTGCAATTCAACACTCTTAAATTACATGAGTATTAGAAAACAACAAATATCAACAATTATGTATTTGAATCATCTATTTTATTTTCATGTGCCTGTAGTTTTTTTAGATCTGCATTACTTTTGGGGTGTTGAGGGGGGCGGATTTCATTATCATGGTCAAAATAGATTATCATGCCATCTTAGGGTTTCTGGGTTCCAACGGGTGTTGACAGTGCCGAGTTGCCGATATCTTGTACTAATAGAAGTATAACCCTAATAAGGTCAGAATTATTTATTTATTAATAAAGTTACACATGAATGGTTCTTGATACGTAGCACTATAAAACCCAGCTTATCTTATTAAAAAATAGAAATAGGCTAAGTTTAAGCTTCTCTCTCTAAAAGATCCCACATTGTTTAGTGAGATGTTTGATGATCCCAAGTTATGTTCTCTGGTACTCTTGGGGTTAGTCTGATCCTCTTGGGGTTAGTCGTCCTCTCTCTGTCTCTCATGGGACTCGGCCATGATTTTTTTTTTTTTTTTGAGAGAAAACTCAGCCATAATTTTTCTTTATCAAAATCCCAATAATGTGGTAGGCACGAGATTGAGAGCCTTTCTCTCTCTATATGTACAAAGAGGGATATGTAACCCGTTCCCTTCTCTCTGTATGTATTGTAGAGAGAGTTATGCCTCAATATAATGTCCCACCTAGAGGTGGTAACAGGTGGGGTCTTGGTCAGGCCCCCTTGGACTTTGACCCAAACCTGAATAGCATTCGGGTCAAAATTTGAATCCACATCCCGACCCAATAGGTCCTGGGTTTAGTCAGATCCATTGCCACCATCTGACTATGAGCTTTCACTTTGTTTTTTGTTTTGTTTTTTTGACAAGATAACTTTTTTTTTTGCTTCTTTTTTTTTTTTTACCGTCCCTATGACTATGACTACGGGTACGGGTCTGGCTAGACCCAAACCCAAATAATAGTTGGGTCCAAAATTTGGACACTATTCGAGTCTAAAATTTGGACTCGTACACAAACCCAAAGCCGGTATACCTGTCGGTCCAGGTATAGTTGGGTCCATTGCCACCCTTAGTCCCACTCTTCATTCCAACCAACATGAGAGAGAGGGAGAGACATTGGTGTTGCTTGGTAGCCATAACAACTTTGAGTGGACCATTCATTTGGCTTGACTCAAAAAGTGGCCATAACAACTTCGAGTGAAGCATTCATTTGGCTCGACTCTAAATTTGTCCAAATTCTCAAACCGAGCGTTTGTATTTCGGATAGGCAATTGAAAGTTTCAACAAAAAGGGATTAACCAATTGGGTGGATGTGTCAATGGTGGACATGGACATCATGGGTGTGTATGGGATCATCATATGCATGGTCGAATGAGTATATGGCATGTGCATGCAAGTGATTTAGGACACGGATAAAGAGTCATCATATTAATCATGAGTAATTATATATGCATGCATTGTATAAAATCGATCAAGAAAATACAAAATTTGTATTTAAAACCTTTGGAAAAAAATAGTAAATGCAAAATTTGTATTTAAAGATGAGCGATAGGAATCAGTCACGACCGAATTCGTTCTTGAGGGGACATGGATCCCCAACCTGGTTCTCCTTTAAAAAAAAAAACCTCATAAATTTTTATTTTATTATATTTTTAATCTGTCTAATATTTTTTCACGTCTTTTAAAATCCTGTTTTATAAGAAATTTTTTTTTTTTTCAATACGTTTTTTTTACCACCGATTCAAATCAATTTGTTGATCTAATGATTTGACACATATTTATTTATCATCATGCCCAACCGATCCAGATTTTAAAACGCATTCAAACGCTCAGAGGATAAGTGGCATCACCATATGAACGACACCCATCATTCTCTTCGCCGAAAGAATGACGAAATTTCGTCGAAAACAAATCCAAGGGTTTCATTGACGCTGATGAATGTGCATGGCCATGATGCATGTGCATATGGAAATGGCAACCCCGTGGGCCCCATGACGGCAAGCTTCACCTTGGGACGCGTGGGACCTGGTGGCCAAACCGACAATGGGCGGTGGGGCCCAGGCAGGCGGAGCCCTCGAGGCTGCTATTTTAGCGGTGATGGCGACATAAAAGTAAGAGTCCACAACACCTTTTTTTTGCCGTTATCCAAGCGCCTTTAATTTGTACTTTGCTTTTCTATTTTATCCACAATATTTTTGAGTAATTTACTGTTTATATCCTCCTAAAAAAATCTGTCCCATAACTATAAAATTTTCTTGTTATCACGTATATACCTATTTTATTTATATTTTTAAAAATAATAATATTATCCCTTTGCTTTAAATTTTAACGGCATCAAGCTTAATATTTATAATATAAGGATGCTTAATAATACTTCAAATTTTAAATATTTTAAGTATTCAGTTGAGCAGATACTTTTAGAAGTTAAAATTTTGGAGTACTTCAGTTAAACAGATACTTTAGAATTTGTTGAGGTTGATAAAGAAAACTTCGGAATTTTAAGTTCCGAAGTGTTTGCTCAATTTTTTTGATACTGAAGTATTCTTACTCCCCCTTACAAGCCTCACTTATTGGGTTGGGTTTATATAAATGTTAAATTTTGGATTCTCAAAATTCGAAACAAAGGCAATATTATTATTTTAAAAAAATTACAAATAAATTTAAGTACTGATGTTATAATATTTATAATATTTTAAATAGCAAAATTTTAGGAGGATATATACCTAGATTATTCTAATATTTTCTCTCTTTGAAAATTGGGTTGGGGTCGTGGTAGTAGCATCACTTGTGCCCCAATTAAAATTTAGGATTATATTCTCACTTAACGCATTAAAAAACTATTAATGGTTTGAAAAATAATTAGTACTTGTCGTCGCCACTTAATCACCTAAAAAAAAATTTTCCTCTAACTTGTAAGATATCATCATTTTCTCTCTCTGAAGTAATATAGATCCACGTATCTCACTCCAAAAGCCCCAATAAACTTACTCCTGCACTAGTTCCATTGAAGTCCTGTGATAAGATTTTCCTACCAGGAGAGAAGTAAAGTATAATCCATAGGAGCTTGAATATGCAATGGTCATGGGTTTCTTGACCTACCAACCAATAAATAGACGGTGATGGACAGTCAGATAGAGAGTGGACCGATTGTAATGTGATGTTGTCCGGCGGTGGCAAGTCCTCTCTCCTTCCACTGTAGGTCGATTGATTTGATTGTGAAAAGACACTTTTAGGAGAAAAAAATATATACCAAAGGACCATTTATTAAAGGAAAAAGTTTATATATGGTTGCAACCTTAAAATATAGAATCAAAAGTACATCTCAATAATTTATGTTAAGGGTTGTTTGGAAGTTGGAAAACCCTCTAAATGATCATCTTGATATTGAGCTGTATGATTATGAAAAAAAAAAACGATTTCAAGGCAATAAAAATATGTATCTTTGAACATATTATTTCGACCGTTTATTTTTAAGAATTTTCATGTGTTTATAGATCTACTTGATTTGAGATATTTTTAAAATTTAAAATTTTATAATTAGAAATAAAAATAGATTATCAAGCCATCTTAATAATTTTTATATCAGAATTACATTTATGATAAACTTTATAGGTGCGCCTTAATTAGATGGTTTAAGGTTGCAATTTCATGCAAACCACACATTTTAGTAAGAGATTAAACAAATTCTACGGACCTTGGCTCATAGCAATCATTTCTCAAAGGAAAATTATTTCATGCGGGCTGGATCGCATTTCTACAATATGCGGTCGAGAGGTTATAAAGCATCCATCTTAAAGATTGATGCAAATAAGTGGTCCATTTAAAGTGTAACTAACGGTCCAAATGTTTTTTTAATATAATTATTATTTCTACTTTTCAATCTTTTTTTTTCATATTCACGATCTCCATGTTAA